AGAGTTCACGGTCCACTTAGTGTTAAGTGGATACCGTAGCCCATAGACATCTACAACGTAAATACGGGGACCCACCTTGAGATAAGAGTTTAAGGTCTCAGTTTTGAAAATAAAACGGTGCCTCACCCTTCAAACTCAGACGTATTAGTGCTTCACGACAGACATTGGCAGGGTGGTGGTACCTACCCGTACCGAGTCAGAAGACGTTCTACCAGCAGCAAAAAGTGCGCGTAAACTAAGTTTCAGCTCAGGGTCATTCAATTACAGCTAGGAGTAAAGTGATTAACCAAATCCTTCAAACGACTTACATCTTTTATCTAGAGTCAGCAAGCCGTGTTAATGTTTTCTATAGGCAACTCTAGCCACTTAACACCAGATGGACTTTGATTTCAACTGCCCTATCTATACTGATTGAATTAAACTGACCTAATTCTCAATACCGATCTTGTTTTTCTCAATACTTGGACTAGTGACTGTATATTATCATATTTCCTTCTATGAAATGTGTTAAGCTTAGCAGTATACGCTTCATCAACAACGTTCTATTCATTCTTCAAATCTCTTAAATCAAACTAAATGAATTATGTATTAAAATTGCCTTAAAAGTGATCAAGTTGATTGCGAAACCAGCCAGACATTTCCGTAAATAACTTAAGTTCCAATAAACTTTATAATTTCATGGGAACGCTACAAAAAAAGTCGTAAAAATGTTGTTACTTAAAATTTTTATGGAAATTTAATTTAATATCTTAATTTTAAATCGTATTTACTAAGCACTAGTGTCTTTTTCTGTTTCAATTCACTTTCCTTCTTATTCAGTATTTGATTGAAAATATTTAAAAAAGGTATAGTTTGTTTATTTTATCGTTAATTTAATATCAAAATTATTTGATAAAAGTAATGTTATATAATGTATAAATAATTTTGTGATGTAATAGAAGTAATATAAAAATATTACTTTCAAAAAACATGGAATTGTGTTTTGTAAAAGCATTTTTCAAGCAATAAAGCAAAGGATAAACGGTCGCGTCGGAATATAAATTGTAAAATATAACAGATTTAGTTACCAGTACTGAAGATGAATACTACTGTTAACGTTCATGTCGAAATCTCAAAGGCATTAGAACAACAACAATCTTACTATTAAAGCCGTAATCTAAATTATTTAGCGTAAATATAATGTAGGATGACTTTCTTCTGCGTTTAAGTCTTACTTACCATAAACTGAAACATTGAAAATTCATTTTATTATAAAATTAAATTGAAATAATAATAAAGGCGAACAACACGGTCATCTGGATCCAAAGTAGGATTTCCTACGGGTATCAGAAACGGATATACATTTAAATAGATACAACCCTGTTCGCCTTACGAACGTTTACCAGATTGGTAAATCGAACCCACGCCCCTCAGCCTAGCAATTAGAGGCACTGATTACGGCACTACCAAGTCGATCAATTTTATGACATAATTATTTTAGTGTGAAAAATTCACCAAAATATGTTTGATATCTATTACTATTACTCTATCTATTATGTTATAAATCAACTTTTTTTTATATTTGAGAGGTTACTGGTCATGGAGGTCTTTCCAGTTTTACCAGGGCAGGTGGGCAAGCAAGGGCTCAAGCCAGGAGGGGTGGGATTTGCTAACAGCTATCCGAGCGCCTCCAAAGGAGACCTAACAGCTCAAGAGTAACTGCTTCGCGAATGAATCTACTACCGGATCGGAATCGCGACCCACTGAGAAGATCTGGCGAGTAACTCAGCGGGCTGATGTTTAGGTTAGGTTGCAAGTTGCTACTCCTTGTGTTAGAGCTAAAGGTGTCTAATGCAAGACATATATCAACTATCATTTCGTTCATGAAGCAGTCATGCACGGTTTTAGGGTGAAATAACTGGTATCGATATATTTTTGAGATTGATTAAATGAGAATCAATTGGGAGAGTCTGGGCAAAGTGCTCATCTGGTCATTTACATAAATAATTGGGATATTGGTAGCTGTTTCTAAGATCAAGCTACGGGCGGCTAAATACAGTTTGGCCGTGCATACAAAGCTTAAGAAAAGAACGATCTGTTAGCGGTACACCTCATAACTATCTGGTGAGCTGGTTCTAGAACAGCGATGTATCTGTACCATCTGGGTGGCCTGATTAGCTGCTCAGTGTGATCGGCTATGTCAAATCGTTTTCGCCCACGACCCCATCGGTCAGGCGTCCTTGGGATGAGCCTTATGTCTGGTTGCAGTGTTATCTGCGTTCATGCGTTCTACCTCTTTTTTCAAGGGCAGGGATTGGACTTAGGAGTGAGAATACAGGGGAGTATAGGTGGCTTCGGCAGCCCCTCGTATCCAGCGCGCGGGAATGTTGTGAGGAGTTTCAACAATCATCCCAAAATAGACAGCTCACACGGTGATTGTCTTACTTGAATTTTGTTTCATATAGTTCGTTTTACTTGTAGCATATAAATAGTTATTGCCCTTTCCAATGAACCTGATTTCAATTTCTCCTTAATTTTCGAAAAACGATAATTTCTTTCTGAGCTGCGTATGGAACGTGACATTTGTCGTTCTTGTCAAATAAATAATTGTCGATGTTTAAATGCCTGTATAATTTAAATAAATCGCGTTTTCATTTTTAATTAAAGAAAGCAGGTAATAATGTTATCAACATTTCACAAAAGGAGTCAGACTAATTAATACGATGAGATCGTAATTTTTCATCTGACATGACACCTTTTAACCTTTGAGATATTAATGTCACCTGATTCTCCTTTTATAGTTTGATATAACGAGGTAATGTATAAAACATGGCATCTTTATAACATTAAAATACAGTGAACATTAATCAAAGATTACTTCGGGGGCAGTCTTAAATACGGAAAATGTAATCGAGAAATCGACTTATTTATTCTTAACGCGTATGTGTGTCAAGCCGTGTGCCAAAATACGTACTTTGGCACTCGTTCTTTTAATGTTCTGTTGCGATACATTAATATATTATTAGCATATGTTTCGTAAGCTTCGTACAGTTACTGTGTTAGATTCTCATTCAAAGTTCATAATAATGCTTTTTTTTATGTTTTGTGCTTTTTAATGTATAATTGAATACATTTTGATATGGTTATGTACTACATTAACGTCTCATTTTAAAAGAGGTCTGCTAAGGACGTTAGTACCTTGTAATTAAAAAAAATATCTCTTGAATCTCTTTGTAAAGTTTGAAAATATTTGATATAGAGGAAATTATAATATTTTTCCAGGAGGTGACGGTTTGTGTTTCGAACAATTCAAAAGCTACAGTTTTAGAGCCTCATTTTAGTAGGGCCATTAACTTTAATTACTAAGAGCAAGTTAATATCAAAGCAATATTGAAAGTAAATAAGATGATTGGCAAATCATGGAACATTCTGGTAGAATTGTTGGCATTGAAGCATTGTTTCTAATAATGGACTTTGATTATCGATACTTGTTATATCAAATGGCAGTAATGTTATTGACTATCCGTTTTGGTTCTGTTAAGGGTTGATAGTCTTATGAAAAAAATCTTTCTTCGAAATTTATCAGATTTATTAGATTCTCCGAAATTTACTGGTGGTAGGACCTCTTGTGAGTCCGCGCGTGGTCCGCGCGTGTGGGTACCACCACCCTGCCTATTTCTGCCGTGAAGCAGTAATGCGTTTCGGCTTGAAGGGTGGGGCAGCCGTTGTAACATAACTATACCTTAGAACTTATATCTCAAGGTGGGTGGCGCATTTACGTTGTGGATATCTATGGGCTCCAGTAATCACTTAAAACCAGGTGGGCTGTGAGCTCGTCCACCCATATAAGCAATAAAAAAAAATATCTTATTTCTTTGTACGGAAATTGATAAGTTCTTCGATTTCCCCTATTAGACAGATTCCTTTCGACGAGAAATTAATTTTATAATAATAAAATCAGCTGAAACGGACAACGAATTTATTAAAATCAACAGTATTTATTTATTTTTAGTATTGTTTCAAGTACGTATGTAAGAAAGTCACAGAACAATGTGTGACATTGTTCCAATTTCACACTACTTCGCATCCCTGTCGTGTCTGTATTACAAAACAAGAACGAGCTATGTTATCAACTAATCATACGTGAACCGTAACAAAATGCCAGGCTCTATTTCCCCAGTATTGTGATGCGTGTTAAAGATACCAAGAACCAGTTCACATATCTTCTTCTAAGCATTTCATAATGTGTAACTCGCTTTATATCATAGAAACGGTTCATCGAATTTGACCTGGATTCTTCAAAATTCTTTTCTATTGTTAAAATAACAACCACCCCGAATTGAAGGCAATGCGGAAGTTGTTACAAAAATTACTTTAAGTTTTCTAACACTAATGGTTACAATTTTGTGTTGAGTTCACATCAAGAAATTATACTATAATCCTCCAGTAATTGAATGATTGTTTTTTTTTTGCATTAAACTTTTTTTTAGCTTGGAATTATTATTGGTGGACAAGGTCTTTCCAGGTTCATCAGGACAGGTGGACGAGCACGGGTCTAGTCTGCAGGATTTTGTGATAGACAAATTTTTGTAAATTTATTTGACCATAAATTTACGATTGGCTGAAAATCTATAGTTTCTTAAGATCCACAAGCATTAAAGTAAAATAAACTACTTTATTATCAAGTTTCTACAGCAAGAACATTGTTTATCAATTCACCAACTTTCAAAAAAGGACAAAAAATGATAAATGATTAAATTATACTTACGAATTAATATGGTAATGTATCCATAGATGTAAATAAAAATAATGAAATGATAAAAATAAGAAAACAAAACAGACTATTCGGAACCATTTGTGAAAACCAATAATAATTTTGTCAGTGCTGATTACGTCAGGAGATAAAATCTCAATAATTTTTAAAGTAAACAGCCACAAATTATTATGTCACTTTTCTTAATACTATCTTTATCTGTAAGCGAGGTATCAATATTATTCAATAGCTTAAATATTTGTTGCAGGCTTATACGTATGCGAAAGTAGAGAGCTTCAGTTAGAAGAAACATGACATCGACTACGAGGTTACAGGTTTGTTATTTTTTTTACCCACCTATACTAGTAGCCTCGAGGGGTTATCCTAGCTTCATCGGACGTGTATGCCAGCTCACGGGCACAGCCTGGCGTCTTTGTTAACACTCGCACTAGCCCTAGCAAGGGCACTGCTTTGCTGAACCTACCACCGGATCGGAATAGCGGCCCACTGAGAAGATCCGACGAGAAACTCAGTGGCCTGTGTTTGTTAATAAGCCTTATAAACTAATTGTACTATATAACTGAGACTTATAACTCATATCTCAAGATAGTATGGCATTTACGTTGTCGATTTCCATGGTCTCTAAAAGCCACTTAACAAAGGGTGGGCGGTGAGCTGGTTCACTCGTCTTAATAATTAAGAAAAAAAAAACTTCATTAGCTAATAATTTATTTTTTAAATGTAACAAATTTTATTTATGCCAGTGGAATGGAAAAAGTCTTGACTGTAAGTATTTCTGGAAATTTGAGTTTCGAAAAGTATTATTATATTATTTAGATTTATCTCTAGTATATGCTACTTTTGTCCTGAACAGTGTTACTTGTTTCATTATTAGAATTAATCAATTGAACCCGGGGTTAGCATAAAGCAAAGTTGTTTAATATAATCAAGACAAAATCAGTAGTGGGAACAAATAATCATAATCTTACGTCCATGAACATTTAATATTGAATGACCACTTTTTGCTTGTTACTACACAAAGCCGCGGATCATTAATTTAACCGCAACGATTTCGAGCTGGTTAGATACACAAGTTAATAAAATAGTAAAGATTCAATGATAAAGCGTGTACGCGTATTTTAATACCACTTTGGTAATTCAGAAGGTTACAAAAGTATATGTGCTAACTACGTTAACAATGGCGTCCACTAACATAAAACGCTACGCAATCCAAAGACTAATAGATAAAAATTTGTGCAAAAACCCGTACGTACTTGTTTACACAACGAAGGGGGAAGATGTTAGTGTGGGAAATTGAATCAAGGCTTTTGAGATCTAGTCTATATTGTAATTAAATTTAATTGGTAATAAAACTAAGACATTTCTTTCTCACATTTTTACTGCAACTACAACCATAATCTATTTAGTTTATGGTCGTAAAACTTTAACAGCGTACTTTGTAATTATTATTTTTTAAAACGATATTATGAGACTACAAATTAATGTTAGTTAATGAGTTAGATTCGATACATATATTAATATTAAATTTTCTGATGGAAACTGAGGCATCAACTGAATGAACATTATTACAAAAAAAAAACAATATTAATGGTTTTTATTGTCTAGATGGGTGAATGAACTCACAGCCTATTTGATATTAAGTAGAAATCACAACATTAATGTGGTTACCCAGATTGAGACACGACAGTGACGGCTCTTGAGAATTGTTGTCTTGAGCTCTAACTTATTAGACCATTAAACTGTATACGCTATGTTTGATAATTAACTGTTACATGAATCATTATTAACGTCACCGATTTACAGTTGCTGACGTGCCTGATGGTGTACGCGTCCAGTGTACACGGCATCATGGTGAAGTTCGGCACGAAGGGTGGGCCCATCGAGCCACCGGTCCCTGAGCCGTCGCTGCCTCCCCCGCAGCCGTATCGCGCTCCCGCACCGGTTTGGGAAGAAAGGTCTAACGACGCACCAGACCCCAACGCTCAATGGTAATGTCAATAAATAAAAATACGCAAACAAATAATTAACAAATGAATTTGACAATAAAAATGTTTAGCCTTATTTTTATTGCTTAGGTGGGTGGACGAGCTCACAGCCCACCTGGTGTCAAGTGGTTACTGGAGCCCATAGACATCTACAACGTAAATGCGCCACCTACCTTGGGATATATGTCTCAGTATGGTTACAACGGCTGCCCCACCCTTCAAACCGAAACGCATTGCTGCTTCACGGTAGAAATAGGCAGGGTGGTGGTACCTACCCGTGCGAACTCACAAGAGGCCCTACCACGAGTAATTACGCAAATTAGAATTTTGCGGGTTTTGTTTTTATTACACGATGTTATTCCTTCACCGCGGAAGTCATTCGTGAACATTTGTTAAGTACGCATTTCATTAAAAAAATTGGTACCCGCCTGCGGGATTCGAACACCGTTTCATCGCTAGATATGAATGCACCGGGCGTCTAATCCTTTAGGCCACGACGACTTAAACGGTCCAACAAATAAAACAATTAATTGGAATACACATCTTTATATGGATATATTTGTTTGTTAATAACTAATTCATATTGTTCACAGGAGACCCCAGCCCTTCAAATCTCAACCTCGATACACGCATATCGTATACAATGTTCCAACTGCTCCTCCTCTATCTTTAACCAATGCTCAAAAATTCGTCAACTCCTACATACCAAACCGACGAACAGTTCAGCCAATACAGGCAGAACCCACCCAAAACTATTTCACACCAGCCCAATTCTTAAGTTCTCAAAGCCTACCAGGTGTTGGTCTGAGATATTTTGTTCCTTTATATCTCAATGAGCAAAAAATAGAAAAAAGTAAACAGGATGATTCGAAACTAAATCGTATTGAAACCGATCAAGTCGATGAGACTAGTAAATACTCTGCCAGTGATTCTCAGTGGAAATATGAGAAAGAAGCCGCAAAAAGAACTACAAGAAACACGCAAGAGGTAATCAACTATTTTTATCAGAACTGGAGTTTAGCTTAGCACAAAATTGATGAACATAAAAGAAATAGGTTTATCATTAATATAAAATAAAATTGGTTAACCCTGACTTGCGGAGCATGTTCTCGGAAAATTACGGCGTTATTATAAGGGGTTTTTATTGAATATCTTTAATATAAGAACATTGAATCTGAAACAACCATTTTTTTTTAAATTCATGTCTAGTATTTGTAACTTCATTTTAAGATTTGTTAGCATACTAGTCTACTTATTACATGTGTTTATTTTGTGGCAAATATTTGAATATGTCAAGTTTTAAGTTTAAATTCTTTTGTTACAGGTTGAAACATTCCCCATCTACCAATGGCCAATATATATTATTCCTCGACACCGTTAAGATTTTAACAACGTTTTATTAATTTACAGACATCGCAACTGATCATTTTGTACAAAAACTTTTTTAAACAATATGGATCAAGAAATGTATTTAATAGAAACTCGTTTTCTTCTTATTTTGAAAATAAGGTATTACAGGTAATTTCAAAATGTACTTGCGATGTCATAAGTAGTTAGTGTTTAAGTAAGATTAAGATAAAAGTGCCAGAATTTAAAATAATCGTATACATAATTGCATAAAAATTGCGTCTGACAGTGTTTAATATATAAAAAAAAAAAACTATGTGAAGTCTTATGAAATTAAATGCACAATGAATAAGTATGTGCATTTGGTATTACAAAAACTGTCCTTCACGGATTGTCATGGCAATTTGATTTATATTTAATATGTAGTAATGTATGGAAGGTACCCTTTCGAATGCATATCAAAATATGATTAATTCGTCTTCAAGGTTAAATATAAAGCTGTGAAAATCACATTCAAATTTCTGATTTACAGCTCACGATTGTGTGATTTCAGTTATTTATGTTGGTTTTAATAGTTTTCTGATGGCAGCTTCTTGGCATTAAAACTATAAAACTGACGTTTAATGTTTTCTATACTATAATGAAGTGGAAGTATACTAAAAATTGAATTAGGAAGGGATTGGGTTGGAAAATTTGTTGAATCCAAATTAGTAGAGGCGTTCCATTATTGTCAAAAATATTATGGTACCTAATGATGTCATTATATAATACATATTGTTTCATTCGCAAGTATGTACGATATGTAACGACAGATACATTTTGTCGCTCAACCACTGCGAAATAGAAACGAGAAAGACAATTATGATGACTATTTTCACAAAAAAAAAAAAACTGGAACATATAATAATATCATTTGTTTTGTGTTCACAATGGCGAGACGAAGTTTTATTACACCATTGTATAAACTATTTTTAGATTTTCGTCAGCAAAAATAAAACAGATATTTGGTTCAGTTATAGGTGTATGTATATATTTTATTTCCAACAGAAACGATTTTATGTTTGTGATTTTTCACGTCGTTAAGTTTTTGTTTATATTTTTAATAATATTCTTTGACGAATCAAACGTTTTTGTATGTATGTCCCGTAGTTTTAATTACGCTTGTAAATATGTAAAATAAATGGATATTATTTTTCAAAGATTTTTCTTTTACCATTTGTTGGTCTTTTTTGCCTATCTATTGCTAATAACCTCAAAGGGTTATGCTAGCTTCATCATACGTGTAGGACGCTCACGGATTCCTGCTTTGGAGACTTTGCTAACATCTATAAGCTAATCGGGTATGTAGTTTGCAGCGGTCACGACAAGAGGTAATCGTGTCGCGCTGCTCTTTCGGAGTAATGTTCCGACGCAGTCTACAGATACCAATTGATACTGATTCTAGATCGTCGTCAATTTGTTGCTCAAAAATTTTTGAGATTAAATAAGAATAAGGTGAAGACAAGTAATTTTACTTTGTAAACGAAAAAATGTGAAAATAAATTCTTCTAAATAAAAAAATCGTTTTTCATTTTAGGATGCCGTAGTGAACAAAAAACTACATACATTCATAAGCTCACCATGCGGTGGTGAATGAGTATTCATCCCTACGATATTTAAATTATCGAGAAAAAAAACACAATATTAACACGTTGTAGAACTTTGTATGTAAGCTTTTAATTAAGCTTTAGACAATACTTTATTTATATGACGCTTTTTATAGGTTTCTTTTTTATATTCAAGATTCAACCTCCACTTTACATATTATGCCTTTAGTATGTTTTTTATGAGTTAAGTTTTAAATATAAGTTTTTATGAGTAATTACGATTGACATTAATTTGTTATTTATGTTCAATCTTTATTTACGTCTCATAACAGATAAAATTTGCAACTGAATGTAGAAAGGGGACAAAAGGTTTAAAAGAAAAATTCACAATAGCATTTACAAAATAAGTTTGAGTGTTCTCAATTTGATGGAGATAAAATCAAAGTTGGCCGCATCTTCACAATGAATGTTGAAAGGCGTGTTGAAACGGCACCTTTGCTTAACCTCTCCGACTTGCTTCTACCTATTATCAAATGGTACTTTGCCAGTTAAATATTCCATTATCTATCTTAGTTTAGACAACTAAACTATGGAAATGTAAATAAAGCCTTGATTTTTAATCGCTTACCCGTGACAAATGATTAAACGACTCCATAGAAAATCCCTGTCTCTACTTTATTAGATACTAGCGACCCGCCCTCGCTTCGCTTCGGAAACATTAAAACACATATGAAACAAAAAAAAAATTATTAAAAAAAAATTAAAAAAATTAGCCTATGTTCATCAGGGACAATGTCGGCTTCTAATGGAAAAAGAATTTTTCAAATCGGTCAAGTAGTTTCGGAGCCTATTCGAAACAAACAAACAAACAAATCTTTCCTCTTTATAATATTATTATTATTATTATTCTTTTATATTTATTTAAAATCTTATTAATTACATAATATTTTTTAAAAAAGGTATTAAAAATACAATTTTTAAAAAACACTATATAAAAATAGATTGCCGCTGATGGCGGTGTCTACGACACAAGCCACCAGTGGTTAGGACTCCAGAGTGAGAAACCTCCTCACAATGCGTGCAGTATCGAGGATAACTGCTTTCTGTATTAGGCCCTTAACCCAGCTGGATAACGAAAGTTTCTTAAGATGTTGATCGANAAAGTTGAGGATCCTCAGACTGACAACAACAAGTACCAACACGAGAACCACGACGTTAACATCTCGAAGGGCATGTACTGTCAGCACGAAGCTGATGGTACCGTCAGGGCCGTCAATTATTCGACAGACAAACACTTAGTATTATTAACTTGGAAACTGATTCAACATCGAGATGGACAGGAAAATCTCGCAACACATTTGGAGCTCGAGAATCATTTTTAGGGGCATTAAAAATGTACATTGTCTAAGTTTACTGGTGGTAGGACCTCTTGTGAGTCCGCAAGGGTAGGACGTCTGCACGGTAGGTATATGCCCTGCCTATTTCTGCCATGAATCAGTAATGCGTTTCGGTTTGAAGGGCACAGGGGAAGGGACAGCCGTTGTAGCTATACTTGAGATCTTAGAACTTATATCTCAAGGTGGGTGGCGCATTTACCTTGTAGATGTCTATGGGCTCCAGTAACCACTTAACACCAGGTGCGCTGTGAGCTCGTCCAACCATATAAGCAATAAAAATAAAAAAGTAAATTATTTAAAACTTCTTCCAGTGTTTTCATTTAAATCTATTCCGAAAAAGGAAACCTACCATGGTAAAAAGGTCAAAGTGAATTCACACGAATTCAAAGCGAAGTAACAGCGTACTACCTGAATATTTAAGGTACTTTGGAAGCTTTTGCTCTACTGAGAGATTTCATCGATGGTGTCCTGAAGAATATATGATACATAAACAGCTAATTTAACGCAAAAAATTCTAGGCATACATCAAAAGGATCTTGAACTGTCAATCGATAACAAAGTTTTGTAAAACTAAAATGTATGACTATCTAAAATTCACCTGAATTACGGTCCTGGTACAGTCAGGACCATAATGGATACCATTAGTATTCGACTGATTTCTTTTTTTGCCCGTATAGCATTTATTGCTAGTTCGCCAAAATGAATTAAGGTTTATTGTGATTTAAGCAAAACAGAAATATGATGGGTTGATTTTTTTATTATATTTTTTCATCATTTTTATTATTCACAAAATGAAATATCGTTTATAAACAACGAAACAGAAATACTCGTAAGTAGCTCTGTGTTATAATTGAACGATTAGCAAAATGATCACAATCAATCTTAGTAGTGATGGTGATGAGGTACAATATGATGAGTACTATATTTCACATCAGCGTGGAACCTGTGAAAAGACAAATGGTAATTTAAAATATGATAGAGGTTGCTGTATTATTATTATTATCATCTCCGTACTATATTTGTTACTAACCCAGAATGATGATCACCATGATAGTCGACATGTCTGATAGAACCATCAGGTTGGTGCAGCGAGTAATATCCCTTGACGACGTCACCGTCGCGGGACTCGTGCTGACTCTTGTGGTCGCCGGTGTGAGGGTCGCTCACTTTGTACTCGAAGTCGAATTTAGGGTGGGTCTGAATTGAAAGTTTTCAATTTATTTAAGATGCTAAATTTCCCAATATAAGTTTATGTGTTCGAGTTCAATTAGTACGTCACTCACGTAGTAATCATGATGGTGTCCGTGATGCACGGGTTCATGGTGACCGTCGTACTTGTGGATGTGTTGGGAGGAGAACGCGTGCTCGGCGTACACCGCACCCACCAACGCGACCAAAACCACCACCTGGATAGAATAAAAGATATTAATAATCCGCTAAATATTAAATTGTCACTAATCATATTTGACTATTTCAAAGTATGAGGCTCGGATTTAATCGAGAACTAAAAATCACCTTTGAGAACATGATATTGTGTTACTACTGACTGAAAACGACCAAGTGATAGATTTCGTCAAACAATTCTAACTTTTATATAGTTATCAAAGCCGGCGAAGGTCCAAGTCGCTAATTTAAATTGTTTCTGGTTATCGCAATGTGTTTTGTAACGATTTAACAATTGGAGTGTGCTATACAGCAAGTACACGAAATGTTAAATATTTCAACCCTTTTGTTTAAGAAGGAGGGTCTTTCTAGTTTGACCCACACGGGTAGACGAGCACTGGCTCAGCCAGAAGGGGCTGGGGTTTCTAAAGACTCGGATCGGAACCGCGACCCAGTAAGAAATTCTGTGGGCTAATTTATGAGTGCTGCAAGCATCTAATTCAATAATAATGGATCGGGTGGATCCGTAAGGATGTGTCTAGGGCCTTCGCTGTAACTGGCTACCGCGTGAACCGGAATTGAGGTAGCCAGCGGCGGCAACAATGAGGCGGTTTTAAAGTAACAGACATTGTGCATATAATCTGTCTTAAACATTAGTGTAGTGGGCTACAGTTGCTGTGGAATCCACAAAAGGTAACGCAAAGATACGTGGGATGTCCCATACTTTGGGATAGTGGTGTATTATTATAGGATAAGCATAAGCTAATGCAAAAACGCGAAGTTCGTCTCATACATTTTTGAAATCTTTTAGTATCTTTTGAGATGATCCCATAATTTCCATTTTACCAACGCCCAATTCGCAACCTAAGTAGAATTCATCTATTATCTGTTTCTGGAGTTTCTCTAGAAGATGCTTCCTCGGCGCAATAACTCCTTCTTCAACGACTGAACGATCGGTTCGTTCGTTTATCGTCTATTTAGGTATTAAGCTGTTATACCTTGTCTTTACCCTTTTTTTTCCTTTTTCCTGTCGTAATGTTCAGTTGAACGGTCGTCTTCGTTCATTTGTCTCGAAAAATCACACTGTCAAATTTTCGACTTAGTCTATGTCTCATCAATGTAATTCGTATGTCCTGTCAAAGAAATTGATCGCCACGACAACGACGTTTGAATAATTAGTTCCTAAACGGTGGGCAGTAACTAAGTTACACCTCTGGTATTTTTTGTTTCTAGAAGCATTGATGACTACCTACTCACTTTAAGACGTACCGTACGCCTGTGTCCCCATTAAGCCAAAAAAATGTACACGCACTAGCTACTAATGTGTTCATTTTCCAAAAATGGCCTTTGTATAAGTCAATAAGTAATTTACAATGTTGCAAACGTTTGTTGCTAGTGGTTGGATAATTTAAACGCCTATGAAATAAGAACGACCTTGCTGTTATTTGATACTTGATAACAATATAAAAGCAATCAGATTTCTGAAATACGTATCAGTTCACATAGTGACTACAGTTCACAATGGTTTCCAAGGTATGTAGTTGTAATATAATTGAACCGGAGAAAGAAAATATTTTATAAAAGATTGCGGCTAATCAAAAAAAAAACCTTCCAGGTAGTATTATTCGTTGCTTTGGTGGGTGTTGTATCCGCCGAGCATGCATTCTCCTCCCAACACATCCACAAGTACGATGGACACCATGAGCCAGTACACCACGGACACCATCATGATTACTATGTGAGTATACCGTTATCACATGCACCTGCATAATCTAAATTTTATATCGTATATAATTTGAATTATCATATTATAGACCCACCCTAAATACGAGTTCGAGTACAAAGTGAGCGACCCTCACACCGGCGACCACAAGAGTCAGCACGAGTCCCGCGACGGTGACGTCGTCAAGGGATATTACTCGCTGCACCAACCTGACGGCTCCGAAAGACACATGCACTACCACGGTGATCATCATTCTGGGTAACTATCGCACTATGAACGTCAGTGAAAGCATTCGAAATTAGCTTTAAAGTAATAACCAACTAGGGACATACTTATTCTGTTCACAGGTTCCACGCTGATGTGAAACACAGCACTCATCACATCGTTCCCCATCATCACCATTATTGAGCTTCAAGCTGAATGAATCCATTATGTTTTATGTTTTTTGTATTGTAAATACTGTAATCCAATGAAAAGCCAAAACGTTATTAGCAAAAATAAAGTACGTGTTGCCTAATCAACAGATAGTTATTTTGTTTTTATTCACATAAAAACGAGCACACGATCCTCTGCTGTAAGGTAGTGACAAAAGTCCAGAATATATAGACATCAGAATGTGAATGACGCACCGCATCCTGAGATATAATGTCGAAGTGATAATTGTGACATGTAACGGCTGCTCGGCCCTTCAAATCTCATTTGCGACAAGAACAGACTTAATGGTAATATCGTAACCTCTAACCCAGTGCATACTGGTTGGCGATCGCACTTCGCTTGGATAATTCTCCAAGAACACTGGTACTCACTTCAGGTGAATCCCGAAAATACCATGTGCCACTAGACCGACATCTACACAGCCAAATACTTAAACTTAACTAAACTTTTCATGTCATTCTTCAAACTTGTGGAGAGTACGTAACGGTAGGCAGGAAGACTTGGCTCTGCGTCTGGCATTGCTGAAGTCTATGGGTGACGTTAACTACTCACCATCAGGTGGGTCGTATGCCCTTCTACGTACAAAGGCAAAAGAATAATAATTGGAATGACAGCGAACAACAAACGACTGTCCACCTTCATGTATACCATAGCACGTACGAAATAATACAGAGAAAAATCGCAAAATTACATTAGAAATAGTGCTTGGAGAAACATTAAGCAAACTGACAAAAACACCTTTTTTATTTGATAAATAAATAGTAGTAATAATAATTTATATATTTAATATATTTAACAATAATAATAATAATGATAACTGGGAACAAAATATAACGCACGGTCTTTCTTGTCCCGAATTACGATTGCCTGTGTTATGGATACCAGAGACTGTCATACATACTTATATACGTTTAGATATATACATAATAATATATGGATGGATAATAAATACCCAAACAGACAAACTAACCGATATGGCAATCGAACCCACGACGCCTGGCGCAACAATCAGGGTTGCTAGCTACTGCATCACCGAGTCAGAAAAAATAGTTTAGGAAATATGTAAAAAAATAAGTAAAAATTAGTCAAATAGTCATTGGATCTATAAGACTTCTTAAAACACCAGAGTGACCACTATATAGGAAATAGTAAAACGTTTATAATTAATACGCTTTTTATTAGCTTCAGATGTATGTATGTTAGTATGTATGTTTGTAACGGAATCTATGAACATGATTTTGACACCTTCAAAACGTCGGATTAACATGAAATTTTATTTATAAATTAAGGACCGATGACAATTCAACATTTAAAAAAAATTGAAAAAGAAAATGAACAAATTGAAATTCAACTAAAAAGCGAAAAATAAATAATAGTTTAAAAAAACTAAAAAAATACGCTTTTATAGAAAATCCAACTAAAAAATTGAAAATGAATTTTAATAAATTTGAATTAAAAATAGTGTAAGAAAAAATGATTTTATTGTAAAAAAAGCGTGGGGTGCTTTTCAGGATATTATCAAAATAACCCTTCTACTCATATCTGTTCATAAAATATTTATAACTACTGATATCATGCATCCAACGCTTTTTTTACAATAAAATCATTTTTTTTAAATGAAGTTGTTTTTGATACCAAATGACCATACCTTGATGGCAAATGACTACCGATGTTTAAAAATATCAACAATATTAGCGTTAGAGGCATCCTCTGCCTATCGCTGAGATTGTTTTATGAACCTTGCATGCGGAAGAATATTATAGGATCATTTGAAATAATGAAATAAGAGAGGAAATAAGGAAGAAGAAACAACAGCATTTAATAATTTAATTCAATTTAATGTAGTGAGAATTTAAAGCAATGAAAATAAAGTAATGATAATTTAAACCTCATCAAAAATACACTCGAATTCAAAGTTGAGGATCCTCAGACTGACAACAACAAGTACCAACACGAGAACCACGACGTTAACATCTCGAAGGGCATGTACTGTCAGCACGAAGCTGATGGTACCGTCAGGGCCGTCAATTATTCGACAGACAAACACTTAGTATTATTAACTTGGAAACTGATTCAACATCGAGATGGACAGGAAAATCTCGCAACACATTTGGAGCTCGAAAATCATTATTAGTGGCATTAAAAATGTACATTGTCTAAGTTTACTGGTGGTAGGACCTCTTGTGAGTCCGCACGGGTAGGACGTCTGCACAGTAGGTATATGCCCTGCCTATTTCTGCCGTGAATCAGTAATGCGTTTCGGTTTGAAGGGCACAGGGGAAGGGACAGCCGTTGTAGCTATACTTGAGATCTTAGAACTTATATCTCAAGGTGGGTGGCGCATTTACGTTGTAGATGTCTATGGGCTCCAGTAACCCCTTAACACCAGGTGCGCTGTGAGCTCGTCCAACCATATAAGCAATAAAAATAAAAAA